CCCCAAAACCCCAAAACCCCAAAACCCCTTTTAAGAAAATAAATATTGGGAATTAATAGCTATCTTCGCTTAAGTAATCAATATTATTAATCATGTTGTCTCCCATTTCTGCTTGTAAGATTTCGTCTCTATCCTCACGGAACTTACTGGGATACCTTTTCTTCGAACCAGCTGTCAGATGGAGCAAAGTCTCACTGGGATTTCTAAGATAAGCAAAGCAATACATACCGAGAATTTATGAATTTAGGAGTATCACAAGCTGGGTGGATTCGGTCCTTTGGTTTCAACTTAGGGCCTTTCAACTTCTTTGTCTTTATGATTAATCATTCTTTCGATTTATCCACCTCGGTTTGTAGATGGCGGATTTTATTTGATTTTACGCTATTATTACCTAAAAATAATAACGTTTCCGAAACCTGAAAGATCTTACCTTGATTACTGTCTCAGCTAGGAGAGAACAGAAAGTGTTGATCCTTCATAAACCCATTCGTATGTGTATTAGCCAACTTGAGATTATTCCTCTCTGGGGCGACTAAGAAATTCTGAGCTCGCAGTGAAAGAGTCCCTTCCCGACCACTCCCGAAAGCTTGGGAGGAGTTGACCTCAGATTGGTATTGGATATCACTTTGAATATTTTTTGAACTTCCACTTCGATTAGTCCCGTTAAACATCTTGCCAACTAGTTTAATATAGCCAAATTCATCTTTGATGATGTCATACTCTGGCTCCTGATTGGATGAATTATGGCTGATAGGAGTCACGGAGTTAAATCGAAACTTTCCTTTCGGTAAAATTTTGTCTAAATTATTTTTGTCACTAGTGATGTAAAGATGAGGAAAGTAAAGATTTCCATCTGAGTTATGTGTGAGGTCATGTCTTATTCTATCCCCTTGTTGCCCAAACTGGTTTACAACATCATCCTTTGTGATATCAGGAAGTACATGATCGATAGATGCTTCTAATGCCTTCTGACCATTATTGTGCATTGATAAAATTGCTCTGCTTCCGGCTATTTCAAAGAACATTCGTCAAACTCCACTGAGTATGGCCAGTTCAGCGAATGAGAAATATGAAAAAATAGTTGTGGTTATTGTTCCATTCCATTCCTCTCTGAATCGTAGCAAAGGCCTCTTGGGATTCTGATATTTTCTATATAAGATTAGGAATTAATCTAGCCCCATAAAATTAATCTCAGCAAATTGTTAAACCTTTTTAGAAACTGTTATTAGTAGTAAAGTCGAAAAGAAAATAGTTGTTATTAGCAAAAAGGAAAACTCTGTTTATTAAGTTTTATTAAGAAAAGAGACGATCTGAAATGCTATAAACCACAAACTATCATACTTTCTCTTCACCATCCCAAAACGCCTCATTCCCTCCCCCTTCAAATTCAGTTCAAACTGCTCAAAACTCAACTCGGCAAAAACCTCATCCAACCTCAGATCCCAATCTCCTCATTCCCCATCCCTCCCACTCTCTTACCTCTTTGCCTGTGCCATATATACCCTATTTAGTCTCTTCCTCTGCGGAGTATTCTCCCTAAAAGCCATGCTCACAGTCTTATGGTCATCATATTCATACAACAAAATCAGCAGTAGAGACCTCTTGTATGCTGACACAATGTAATTCACCGCATCTTCTTCATCCTTGAAGGAAGACCATCGACTCAGGATTACTCTTCTGGATTTCTTCCCTGTTCGCGATGTTATTCAGCAGCCCATTTTTATATATTTTCCTAAATTGACTTTTTGAAGGGGTTTTGGGGTTTTGGGGTTTTGGGGTTTTGGGG